GTGGTAAATATAGAAACGTCTCAGAAGGTGGTTTGCTGATGTGTATGTTGCAGCTGGTTCCTAATCCTGTTTGGATTCATGAAACATTTGTGCAGTATTATTCTGTGAGCATTTCGTGAGAAGTATTGGCTATGGCTGCTCAAGAATGTATCGACTGATCTAGCTCATAAGGCCTGGTTCACACCTCAGCAGTTTTATGTGCGTGAAAACACGCAAAACACACATTTCCATTCAAGTCAATGACAACTGTTTACACCTTAGTGTTGCATCATGTGTAGAATAATGCCCGCTGTGTGAAAAGATGCAGGAGATATTTTAAGACGAATCCCGCACAGTTTTGGTCTCATAGATTTGTATTGAAATTTGTGCGTGTACATGCAAACGCCTAGGTGTGAGCCTAGCTTTGGCGGTCACTGGGGAAATGTGCCAACCTCTGAAGATGCCCCCTGGACAACTGATTCTGGGTGTGGGAAATTGGTCCTACTAAGTGAATGTTATACCATATTTACGATTAGTCTGTAAAGTCATTTTCAGTGTGTTTGCTCTTTGGATAAACATACATGAATGACCGAAATATTGTGCGTGCGGTGCCACAAAAATCACAGCTGGGCATTATGTTGTTTTGATGCACAATTGTCACAGTTTTAAAGTTTGTATTTAAAGTATATGTATAGCCAATTGTTTTATAAAGAGATATTAAAGGTTTTTAGGCTATTAAAAATGCTGATTTAAATCACTTACAATGGATGATGCTGTTTTTATGTTTAGTTTCCTGCAGAATCAACTGGTCCCCTGAGCACTCTCCCGGACATCCTGTTTTAGGGTGGCTTTGTTCCCTTGCAGGGTACTAGGGAGCTAACTTTGTGGATGTTAGTAAGCTGAGTTTCCATAGGTACAACAGGGAAAGCCAATCCTTTGTTCCCCACTCCTCTAAGCTAGTAGATGGACAGCTGTTGGAGTCTGTTCTGTCCCTTGTGATCCTGTCCTGAACAGGAAGTTTAGGGAATCAGAGAGTTGGAGCCAACTGTTTTGGAAACATGATGACTCTTAAGTGTTTGGGTGAAAATATAAAGATTGCAACATGTTTTTTTTTTTTTTTTTTTTTAATTTGTTCCGAATTCATTTATTGAAAAAACGTTTGAGAGTTTAACACTACTTTAAATTGATATGCAATAGGAAAGGGTTGGAGCACTTGTCAGGGTGTATTGCTGTCTGTGTCCCTTTTGTGGAGAATCCTCCTCCTTTGTCTTGGTGACCATGACCACTATAACGGTAAGTCTGTCAGCTGTCTCCACAAGAGGTGAAGGAAAATCTGCCAGTGGGCATGCTTGTTCTGAGGTCAGCGGTTCAAAGTGAGTTCCCCTTTTGAAGAGATTTCCCTTCACTTCCTGTGACATCTCTGGGCCAGGCAGTGAAGGGATATCTCCCCAACAAGATGGAAACAGAAAAAGATTGTTGGGGGTTTTATCATTTCCCTATGCTATTTAAAACGAAATAGAAAGGTTTTGGGTATACGTAAACTTTATAGGGGCCCTGTAACTTTCTGAACTGTTTGTTCAGGGAGAGTAATATTGCTGTGTAAAGGCCCCCACCCAAATAAAAGTAAAGCCCATGACAGACTGCATGAAACGCTGTGCGGAGCAAACCAAAGCTGTGAGGCGTTTATGTTCTCTCATGCTGTGTGTGAGCTGAGCGTGGCCAGATGAAAGACTGCATCTTCAGCCAATCAGCTCACGCGTAACAACTGAATGGACTTCGCATCCTGACGCGCAGGTTTATAAGCACGAGCCAATTGGCTGAAGATGGCATTTCTAATCTCTGTACACTCGGCTCTCGCAAGCTGACGTGTCGGAGTGAAAATGACATGACACACTGCACACGAAGGTCTGCGCACCCACCGCTCTGCACTTCTTCGCGTGCAGTGTTACATTGCCAGTACTCTCCCTCTTCTCCTTATGCTACCTCAATGGGCAACTATACCCAGCTGTTCTGAGTATGGGGGAGCATGTGACCCTTTTTCACATGACCACACTTGAGTGTAGCAGCCGATTACTGGGCCTGCACACTGCACATGAAGGAGGGGGCGACACCATTGCTCCCCATAAGGTCCAACATCCGTTGACACATTTTGGTTTTGGCCACAGCCAAGACAGAAGTGGCAAGGGAGCACTGGCAAGGTGGACAAGGTGACAGTGTCTTTAGAAGTCTAATAGTTTTGTCCTTTTTTGGATCATTTTAAGAATGAAATGACTTCTTATTTTATTCCCTGAACCATATCTGTGTAGAAACCTTTTTTTTCTATTGTATCGGCATTGTTTTTCTAGCTCGGCTCTCTTCTCACTAGTATTATCTCATTATACTATTATCTAATGTTTAAAACATGGGATACAGCTCTCGCTATGTAAATAGTTCAGACCAGACTAATTATGATGTCAGCTGTCTGGTATTTTTTGTTTTGTTTTGAGTGAGGCAAGTAAAATCTACTTTTTTTTTTTTTGTCTAGTCTTCCCATTTTACCAGGGTGACCTGGGTTGTGGGAAGTAGTGTCCAGCGGTTCTTGGCAGCAATTCAGACCAAGGCTTGTTATTGCTAAAACTACTTACTAAATGTGGCACCAAAGCAAATGCTGTGTCACCACTGGCAGTAAAAGCAATGCTATGTCTTTTTCATCTTTCTTTATTCCTAAAGCTTAGATTTTCGAAAGAACTTTCATATGAAATAACTTTTCTTTTGACTTTCTTTTAGTTGAAAGGGTCAAATCTTTAATCAATTTCGACCATAGTGATGAAAAAACTAAAAGTAGCAGGATGGCAAATTTTTCTTGAATGAAATTCTGGCAGTGAATGCGATTTTTGTTCAGGAGATGCAATTAATTCCAAAATCGAACGTTAAAATTAGAGATGCACCAATACCGGTTTTTCGGTATCGAGTACGTGTACCAATATTTTGGTTTTAGTACCTGCTGATACGGAGTACCAATACCCTTACTTCCGCTGGAATGGACCTGGCTTCCTGGGCAATCCGGAAGCCAGGTGGCGGGTAATGACATGTCGCTCGGCTTCCCGATTGCCCCTAAAAGCTGGCTACATGTTGTGTGGCCAGGAAACCGGCTTCCTAGCCAATCAGCATCTAGCTGGCTTCCCAACCAATCAGGTGAGTAATGACCCGGCTTCCAGATTGGCTAGGAAGCTGGATCAATGCTGATTTGGCAGGGAAGTCTCAAAATCAATGGAAACAGCTCCTAAAAAAAAATCTTGCTGGCTCCTGATTTGGACAGACTGACTCCTACTATCAATGTTAATCTGTTCAGCCCTGCTCTATCTTCCTCAAGTGTCTGTCTATCCTTCTCCGGCATCTCTTTGTCCTGCTTGAGTGTCCCTCTTTTTAGTCTAATGTATAGACATATATAATAGAAGGGCAGCATATAAATATTATACTACACTAAACCTTTTATCCAAACTCTAAATTATTATATTTGCTATTTTGAAAAGTCAGTATAAAGAAAAAAAATAGTGGTAAAAAGGGACTTGTGGGTTAACTTTTTTATTATTATTAATAATAATCATCATAATACAGGATTTATATAGTGCCAGCAGTTTGCACAGTGCTTTACTATATAGTGAAGACATTACAATCGCAATACAATTCAAGACAACATGATAAGGAGAATTAATTCTTCTTGCTTTCATAAATCTGGGGCCGTGACCGGGGGGG